TTACAACAAAAAGCTATAGACATCTTAACAAGAAATTTTTTTAGAAATCCATTTATCTTTCAACTACCTACCGTAATCTAAAATCGACAACTACCACAACAAATTGAAAAGATAATATTTCCAAATCAGCCGACAAATAGCTATTTCCTTTTCAACAATTCTATAAAAAGTCACATTGATCATTGATCAGGAGAGTCTACTTTCTACATCCTCTCTATCTTTAAACACAGCTGCAACAAAAATGATACATTTGTTTTACCTAGTAGTAACTTCATATTTCACATGATGAAATTAAAAGCTTTTTTTGCATGCGTGGGTACTACGTTTTATCATGTCAAAATCTAGCGAACATTTTAAAAGCTATATTTATTTATACTAATTTATCGAGTTACGAAACATCTCGACCAAATATTTATGTGCTCAAAAACAATCGTGAATAGTTTAATAAATTACTAATCGGCAAAAAAAATTAAACCCCCCACAACCACATAACCAACCATACGACAAATATTTTTTGAGGAAAAAATGTTTTCAATATTTTTTTAAATAAAAAAATATCTAAAAATAAGTCTACTCTAAAATTTTAACAAGTTTAAACATTGTTTTATTGAAAAGAACAAACATTTCTAAAGTTATTTGAGATTTTGAAAAGTTTTTAAGCATTTTTATATCACGGCAAGAGTTAGTTTAGGCTTTCTGAATTATTAAAGTGTTTTATTGTTATAACCGCTGAGCGTGATTGGATGAGAATGAGCATTTTTATAATTTTAAGTCTTCAGTGTCTTATAAATTATTTTATTTTTAGCATGTCTATTTTTGAAAAGTTACAAGCAACTCTTTTTCGAACCTTACTCCTATCTGATTTTCTGTTATTATTTTTTTTTCTATAAATCATTGATATCATGGTTACTGCATTAATGGAGCCCAGACATCAATTATCTTATTTTTAGATAATAGTATAATAAATTTTCTTTACGCCTTAGATTATTTTCAGACTAGCATGATCAAAATGAGTGATGGGCGAAAGCGTCATGAGGAGCACAGAAAAAGAAAAACAACGTACGTAGGCAATCAAACACTACCGAGATTTATAGTTTTTAACGAGACTGTGTTACCAATGGTATCGCAAGTTAATCTGATGGAACTCAAACTGACCATAATTTAATCTGCACTCTTGACTGTAACGAACATTTCAGGGCTAATAGTAATAGTAGAGTTTTCCAGGTCTGACATGAACATGATTGATACTTCTAATGCAGATATTTATTAAATTGAAATCCAAGTGCTCCCTGCTCTTTTGAAAGTTCCGATCTTGAGGCCAGTTCAGTTCCAAAGTTCAGGTTAACTCTCTAGTGATTTTAATCAAGATATGGAAAAACCAGCTCAGTCAAAATAATGATAAACCAGACCTGTTTCTTAAAATGATTTACTGGGAGAACAAAATCGTTATTTATCTCATTATCGTTTAAAACTCAACTGGTTAGTGGCCAAGAAATAAGATGAACTTCTGTGAGCACTGAGAAAATCTTTTCTATTCCTCGTCAGTAATTCGGTGGCATAACAAAATTATCAATAAAAAGAATTAGATGATTGCATATCTTAACTAAAAAACAAAAACTTTGACTACAGTTCAACAAATTTCCACTGCTTCAAGTATTTTTTATTCTTTAAGCATTATCGGCGATGTGAAGGAGAGCACGGGTAGGAGAGGCGACACATTTTCAAATCCGCTTCTGCCAATATTTGAATGGAAGTAAATGCGAACGGTTCTACATTTTAGTATATATTTTTTTCGTTTTTTTTTCAGTCAATATTAACAAGTTTACAAATCAATACGTTGAAAGAATAGGTGTAAATACAACTGAACAAAATTTATTCCAGGATGACAAATCAAAAAAGTCTTACAATGACAGCAAGTTTTGAAATTTATAAATTCAAACCACTTCAATGATTTTAATTTAGATATGTAATTCTTTAGACAATAAAATATAATGCGTGCATATAAATATCATCATCAATAGTTAATATTAAAAGATGCATAGACATGTGCTAACGAAGTCATGCAACGAATCTATAAATTAATTTTCATTCACACATGAAGTTATTTTCAGTAATTTTTTTAAATCGAATTTCAAAAGCCCGTGAATACAATGAAACTGTGAAACAATTAATAAATATAGACAAATCAAATTAAATTCTGACAGCTCAATGAAAATGATATTAACTCATCGCCATGAGAACTCCGAAGACAAAACTAAACGAAACTGCAACAAAACAGTCTTATTTATTACCAAGAGTTATGAATTAAACAACTAAGCTGTTTGTTAAATGAAGTTTTGTCAGGCCTTAAGAATCAGGGAGATGGTGATGAAAAGAGCATTGGAAATAAACATAGCCTAAACAGAACAAAAATCTTACCATATAATTAAATAAGTTTTAATTTTCAACCCTGTTATATTGCAGCATTTAGTTTTTTTTTGTTTTTAAACGCTTTTCCGTCACATTCAAAAAACAGTTGTCTAAAATTTTATATTATTATAACATATAATGTATATATATATATATATATATATATATATATATATATATATATATATATTATATGTGCTAACGACCATAATTTTTACAATATTCTATAAATTCTACCGAATGTTTGGCGTTAATATGTTTGCAGTTCGTTTTTTCGATTTTTCTCACTAAAGTTTTTTGGTGAACGTTTAGTTTATTAAAATTCAAAATAAACTTATTTTTCGAATTCATGCTGCCTTATTTGCCGCATGAATTCGATAATTTTCGACACGAAGTACACTATCTTTATGTAACAGTACGTTTCTGTGAATTATTTAAAAACACCTTAGTCTGCAATATTTTTTACTGAGATAGTAATTGAACTAAGCTGGTGTTTAAACTCGGGCCACCGATGAGTCTTATAAGGGACGAAACGGGTCTAGTTTAAAACGAGTTTATATATATATTGTAAAAATATTGTATAAATTACCAACATATATATATGTATATATTATTATATATATATAATTTATATATATATATATATATATAAAGACAAATGCATACAAGTGAGGTATTAAAATACAAATTAAACATTTTTATAAAGTTAAATATAACTTTATCGTATTTTTAATATTTTAAATTGTGATAAATTAACTAAAAACGTTTAATCTAATGAATTTGTTACTTCCATTATAATAAAAAATATGCCAGTAACAAGAAGCACACAATATCCAAGGTGGTGACTCAAATTTAGGATAGTTTAAGCTGGTAGTGCTAAACTACATTTGCTTCAAAAATGAATATTCAGAAATGATTGAATAATCAGTAAGAAAGTGTCAAAAATAACGACTCCTACTATGAGCGCTTCCTATTTTATTTTCACATATCAGATTAAGACAAACCCATTTAGAACACTAAATTTATTAGAATGCATTGAAAACGTTATTTTGAAAACTGTACATAAGAAAACTTTACGTAAACATTTCGTTTATAAGCATTATGACCCTTAATTTGGTAAAATTAGGAGGTAGAAAATTTTAAAAAGGTAGGAGGAGAAAAAAATAATCAGATTAACTGGGACGGTGAAAGAGATAGAGAAAAATGCTATGAGAGCGTTAATTCAGGCATTTATCCATCCATTATTTATTCACTTTATAAATTATATAAGCAATAAACAACTTGGCATCTAATAAACCGCGAGTCCAAGCCATAAAATACCAATACGGAAAACCAGGTGACATACGGGTCGTGTATATATACGTATGTATAGTATATATCAAAATGTGTGTGTGGTGTGTGTGTATTGTATTTCAATCGCTTACGTAGTTTCTTCAAGTATTTACAGAAAATTTTGGTTGAACAAACTTCATACACGTGTATTTGAATATACATATTATAATACACACACATACATTTAAATATTTACACACATACTTAATGATGAATGTAATGCATCGTAGATATATTGTTGGTACGTAATTAACAAAGTAAACACGAGTGCGTGCCAAGCAATTCTAACAATAATCATATTTCTTATAAACTTTTTATTGACTGAACATAATAATATTCTTCACAAAAGCAATAAGTAATAGAGACAGATTGTGTTGATTGTTCACAACCAACACCCAACCAACAATCAAATACAATTATATGATTGTTGTTGTTTTAGTGCTGCACTGTTTGGTGTAGGTTGGTTGGTTGGCTGATTGGATGGTTGGTTGTTCGGATGGTTGGTTGGTTGGTTAATACACTCAAGCCGTCCATAAGAACATAATATTCTAACAAATGGTTTGATGATGAACACCATAAAAATATTCAATGAAATATTTACATTATCTGTTGATGATTGATTAACGATGATGAAGATGGCCAGGAGGCATAATAGAAAAACGTTTTTGGTTGGAAAAAAATTCTAAAAATGAAATAATCATAACGAAAAAAGATTCAAAGACACAACTTCAACAATCAAACGACATTAACAAAAATATTAACAACAACAACAACATTAACAATACAACCAAACAGTACGTAAACAAAACAAATGAATGTAAACAACATAATATTGAATGAAACTGTTCTTTGCAATACATACTACTTATCCGTCTGTCAGTCAGATGATGATGATGGAAAATGGTGATATTAACAATACGCTTTAATGTACATATAAGTGTATGTAAATATGTGAGTGTGTGTTTGTGTGTGTGTGTGTGTGTACGTATACTTATGTATGTACATACATAGTGGATGAAAAACGTCAAAATAATCACATGTGTCAACACAAATAAAGGTTAAATATTTTTATTTAAAAAAAAACATTACTACATTCATCTGCCTACTTGCCATCATCACATTAACGTCATTATCATTTTCATTGTTCAATATCGTATCAGTAACTAATTCATCGCGACATCATCATATTCACTATCATTTTCATCACCATCCATCATCATCCTCATCTTCATCACCCCCCTCTCCAACGCATGGAAGCATCATGCATACATGTCGTAGTCATCAAAATTCTTGGTGTACCCTTTGAGGGGTGGGCATTGTGTGGTCTTCTCGGGATAGTACGGTGTCGTGAGGTGCTGGTGATGGTGGCGGTGTTGCTTCCTTCGTTTCAACCAGTAAACTCCGAACATGACCAGAAGGACAGCACACAATAGGCCAACGACAGCTCCACCCAAAATGCCTGGAAGGAGGTTCACAAAAAGAATGAATATATAATAGATTGATTGATTGATTGATTGATTTGATGAAAAATTATGAACAAATGGAAAAAATTAATAAATAAATAATTAATTAATTAATCAGCGAATGAACGGACGAATGAATCTAAAATTAAATAAATAATTTCAAGTCAACCAGTTGTTAAATTTAAAACAAATAAATAAAAAGAACAAATAAAAGAGAGAAAAATTGACACCAAATAGGTGGCAGCACATCAACAAGCCACATTAAGTGCTCAAATGTCATTACAACCAACTGAAATGAATAACAAACCACAAAAATACAAGTGATAAATGTGATATTGAATGATAACAGCAGCATAACATAACAAAGCACAACCACATAACACAATGTAACACAACGTAACTTACCAGCTAACAACCCAGGTTGGCTTAGCAGCGAACTATGATCTGAATCTTTGTTGTTTTTGTTGTTGGCAAAACTGCTGTCGCCGGCAATGACGTTTGTGTGGATGTTCTTTTGCTTGCTGCTGCGGTTTGTGTTGATGACATCCTCCTTGCTGTCTGATTCAATTATCCGAATGTCATCGTCGTCACCGTCGTCTTCTTCATTTTTTATCTTGTAAGGAGTAGATGTGACTTCTGCTGAAGAGGAAGAACATTTTTTAAATGAAATTAGGTCAAGTGATGAAATAAAAATGACATGATCGAATAAATTCTTACAAAAATTCAATTATAAGATTACTTAATCAACGTGTAATTAACTACAAAGTTATATACAAACATCTTCATATATAAATTATTATAATTAACTTATTCCTTCATCAATTTATTTAATTATTTATTTATGGACTGATCATCAATTCAACCATTCAGTCATGCATTATGCATTGATCCATTCATTAGGTTAAACAATCATAAACCAACCATCGAATCTTTAATGTATTAATTAATGTATAAAAACCATTATTCACAACACAACATTGAAAGAGTACAAGCTAGAAACCCAACCATCTAACTAACCATTTTGTTTCCTGTAATGTCTGGATGTTGTAGAGGCTGCAGTCCTGTGCACCTTGTAACCTGTTGTGCAAATGTTATATTCCAACAATATATTTATTATTCAGTTTATTCACCAACAACAAATCTCCAATTAATTCTACTCTAATCTTCAAACCATTGATTTCAAATTATTCAACTTTTATTATAGAGAGATAAAAAGCAGAGCTTATAATTATGTACCTGCCACAATGAAAGCAGGCAGATATTTACATTATTGTCTACATGAAGGATTTTTAACTGAAAGCATTTCAGGCTCATTGAATTTGTTAGAATTTAGTTGTTTCATCATTATTATCTAGTGCTGATAAAATGTTGATAGACTCCATTAACAAGGCTTCACAAGTGCAGAAAGAGTTAGTAGCCATGCAGTTCAACTTCATTTCTTTAAAGCAATTTCAATCGGTATTTATATTGAAATAACTTATTACAACATCATAGGTATGGTACTGTAACATGTTGACACATTCTATCTAATTTGAGATACTGTGTCCAACAAACATGATTCATTCATTCATTCATTCATTCATTCATTCATTCATTCATTCATTCATTCATTGGAGAGCAAAATCTGTTATCAGCATTAATTAATTTGCAAACAAGCAAGTTTGATAAGCAACTTGTAAAGAAATACTCGTCAGTTATAATTGATTGATGAGACATACCATCAACTGAAAATGAATAGATTACAATTGTAAAATCGTATGTATGTGTTTGTGTGTATGTGTATGTGTGTGTTTATGTGTATGTGCATGTATTCCTAGGTGTGTATGTGCCGGTATGTATGTGAGCACACATGTGCATGTGCGTATGTGCAAACGTGCATTAAACACATAGCTAACTACCGAATGATGAAAGAATAAATAAACATATAGTCAGCTAAATAAAATTAATATTAGTTGTAATATTATTAGTATTATTTCAACCATAAAACCTATTTATCGTGTTATTTCCATTGATTTTTACACAAAATAAGAGTGTGAGGATGTTTATTGTGCGGGATGAAGAAATGCTTAATTAGCCAAACAAAGAGACTAATGCATGCACCACACCTTGTTGAAAGTTGCTTAATAATATAATTGCCATTTATTATTATTTATATTATTTTTTATTATTATTACTATGCAGCATATTAAGAGCTTATAAATCATTTAGCAATATGAATTAGGCCAACGCATTTGTGGCTTAATGTTGGCAGTATTGTCAGTACTACTACTACACTACTACTGCAACTTTTATTTAAACTTTGTGTAATTTCTTCGCTATTACAAAATTTCATATAAATTCTGGACAATGACATAAGCAGCAGAAAAACTGGTATAATAGTATAGCAGAAGTAGCAGCAGCAACAGCAGCAGCGGCAGCAGCAGTAGTAGTAGCAATTGTTAATCATTCAATCAACCAATAACATGTTGATAATGATGAAATGCTTGCCTGCCTGTTTGCCTACATCCCATTTTTGTGTGCATTCTGTGCATCTTCCATTTTTTAAAATACATTCATCATGGGATGAGCTGGCTATGTAATGTTGTCAGCTTAGGCTTTTTATTCTGATGTAATACTGCTACATTTTGCATAATACATATATACAATGTATTATATAGGGTATTATAAAATGTTGTTAAAATGATAATAAACAGACCTCCGGATCCGACATCATCATCATCATCAAGATCAACCATCTCCTCCTTCTCCTCCTCTTCATCATCATCATCTTCAGTCTCATTTAAACCACCATCTTCATCATCTTCGAAACCAGAACTGTAATCATTATCATCATCAGCATCAGCATTGATGCTGATGATGTTGTTAATGTTGTTGATGTTCTGTATGTTGTGGTAGTACTTCTTTTTGGATTTTATTTCCACGTCGTCATCTTCGTTCTCATCGTCGTAGTCTTCATCATCATCCTCTTCTTCATCATCATCTTCTTCCTCGTCATCTTCATCTGATTCGAACACATTATCGTCATCACTGTAATCGTCATCTTCATCATCAAAACCCTCATCCTCTTCTTCATCTTCTTCACCATTGTCGTTGTGAGCAACGCGTTCAATCGTGTCCTTTGCAACTAGGCTGTTCCCTGATTTTGTTGTTGCTAATTTTGCATTGCTAGGCTGCAAAGTACAAAAACAATGAAACATCATTAACTTCCTTTATTGACATTTAGATAATTCGGAATAAAATTAATTTTATGTCTAACTAACGACATGAAACTTTTAAAGGTTGTGTATTAAAATTTTTCATCAAAGATCGACTGAGGTGCTTCAAAATCTCTATCACTCATCTCCCAACCCTTCATCAAATCATCATCATCATTATCATTTTTTATATCATCATTCGAAAAAAAATGAATTAAAATCAGATTACTAGCAAGCAAGCAAGCGAACAAACAAACAAAGCAGCGAAATGATGTTTTAATGGTGACCTAGTAGTCTCAGGCGATTACGATTACGATCTGATCACTCCTTCTAAAGTAAATAAACTAAACATCAGCCAGAGAGAAACAAACCTCCCTAACACATTCAGGCCACACAATCTCTCAGTAGCCAACACACATGTGAATGTTTAAAATTATCATAAACACAGGATAGTATACAACCGCATAAAAGAAACATTAAAAATACTCATAAATAAAAAATTCTACAGTACATACAACCTAACTCTCTCTGTCTACAAACAATGTGGATTACTTTCTTATCTCAGTCCATCTATGTTTTATTTGTCTTGCTGATAGTTTTAATCGCCTTGGCTCTCTGCATTAAATTAATTACTCCTTTATAATCCTTCAAGATTAGACACTAACAAACACAGCATGTATGAATGTATATAATTAGTGCATAATCCGCAAATATGAACAACAGCTAAGGTTCTCTGTGCAATCGAAGGAGGTCACAACAACATAATCCAAGCCATCTGGTCATTATTTTATTCTTTCATTTTCTAACATCTCATCCTTCCTTCAGAGTCCAATACAAAATAATTGCGTGTTCTTGAGTGGATAGATATGCAGCGCAATGAAATAGCATGACATCAGGAGAAGACCTCACAGACAGACGACATGACGTTATATTGTCTGGTCAGTTGGTTGGTCGACTGGTTGGTTGAATGGTTGGTTGGATGGATGGTTGGTTGGTGCCCATTTAATAAAACAAACATAAATACACAACTACAAAAAAAAATCACCCCAATATATTCCTTTGATGAAAACGATGATGTCTCTTTCATGATATTGGTGGTGATGAAGATGATGATGATGAGTACTAACTTATAACATTGAAAATAAAGATGATGTTGTAGTGGTTCATGTGATTTTCGTGGCGAATAATTATCATAAAATATATATGCGATGTGATTCATTTTGAAAATGAATTAAGGTGAATGTAATTATACAGAGGATGATAAAAAGGTTACTAAAAATGAATGTGATGATTTATAATTAATAGTAATAATTTTATTAACACAATACTGAAACATAAACATGTTAACAATGGCCATGTTTAAAATTAAGTAAATTAAAATGATATCAATGTAAAATGATATCCTTTGAAAATATTGATAGTATGTGTACATCAATCTATCTTATCTAGAATGTGATGATAACGTGAAGAGGTCAGCCCATTCACATCAGAAAGATTGCAAACTGGCATAAAAATAATGTAATATCAAAAACAATAATGATAATAATAATAATTATTATTAATCAAAAAGTGCGCAAATCCATTTGCCGACTTGGATTACAAAGACTGCCACCCAGTTTCGACACTTTTCAAGTCGATTCGTCCAGATATTGTCCTGGTCCACAATGACATCAACGAAGTTCTAACTAGCGACAGCCTGTCGTGCAACAAATACGACGAAGTCGGAAGAATTTAAAATTAACAAATATAATCAAAATTTGCAATTAAATTTAAAAAGCGAATAAAAAATCTTTTAACTTTAAAAAAAAACTTTTGAAATTTCTACATTAGGATTATATAATACTTTTAATTTACCACCAGTCAATTTAGTTTGATCTGAACATTTTAGAAACATTCAAATAAAATCTGTTTCATCACCATCATATTACGATACGATATACGATACGATATATAATATTCACGATTCAATACATTACATAGTGACATAAGAACCCAATAAATCCTATTATAAACTAACATCTTCTATAAGTACTCATCCCCATTGACTGACGAGCTAAACAGATTACCAGTTTTTATTAATTTTAGCTTTATTTTATATTATTTTATCTGATTTCATTTTATTTTATCTGATTTTATTTTATTATATTGATAGCTCTTTTTTATTGTGTAAAAAGAAGCGTTCACATTACATTATTTTTATAATAATCTGAAAAGATCAGATCCCAATCTGACAACACGGGTTAAGAATGAAATCCCAACAACAACAACAACAACAATCATTATCATACAACATTGGTTGCCACAATAACCATTCATTAAGAAACGATTACAGCAACTACAAAGACAACAACAGTAGCAACGACAGCTGCAACAATAAGAGCAACAAAGTCACACCCACATACATATATACGGTAAAGAAATAAAACTTTTGAAACTAACAATCTAGCAAATTAAAAAATATTAATGACATTTAAAAACAACTACATCAACAACAACAACACCGCCGCAACAACAATAATAACAACAATAAAAACAATAATAAATTGACACAATTTCTGCAGAAAATACCAGTGCCGATATCAGGCAGCAGCAACAACGTCAATAATAACAATATAAAATAATCATAAAGTTAATAATAGTAATGACAAATTTTGCCTTAAGAAATATCTAAATAGTCCCCAATATTTACTACATTCAGTATGCAAAAGATCGTTACTAACTTAATTTATTATTTATAACCAACATTATTAGTATCATTACCAATGTTGACACAATTTATATTACTCGCCATCACTCTTTATCATCGTCCTCATCAGTTTTTTATTACCATCATCATCATCATTCTTTATCATTGTCATCATCCTTTTTTGTTATCATTATTATCATATAGCCATACTAGGTGAGTTCCATTCTGCCTTTGTTTAATTTCCTACTTTTAAGAAGCAAATAAAGTTTTCTATCCTTTCGTTCCATCTTTACTATCATTGGCACTTATTATTTTCATCATTGACACTACTAAATGGAGTTGTCTGTTGTATTTTAATTGCCAACATTTGAATTACCATTTAAAAGAAATGTTATTATAATAGAAATAATTGTTAATAACCTTATTATTGTTATCACACTCATGATTGATGTAACGAATGTAAGATGTAGATAAACACAGACACACAGTACACCGAGCGACGAACAAAGAAAAAAAAACATTGAAATAAAACAATCAGAGACACCACAACGGGTATTCAATTCATTCATCCATCTTAAGGAACTTACTAATAGGAACTGACTTACAAAAATTTTCTCAGACATTTCTATCTAATCCATTTCATTTCACAACTCGCAACATTCAACATGATGTTTCTCTGTTCCTGTCTTAATTTATATTCAAAAGACCGGCCCGCCGACCAGACTACATGCAAATGTGATGTAACTTTTTTCAATTTATTCATATAACGAATGTTAAAAAATAATAAAAATAATTACAATTGTGACAACAATAAAAAAAATAATGGCGGTAATAATTGTAATGGTCGTCTATATTGATCAAATGTTGGTAGGCTAGCAATAAAGATACAATGGCAATTATAAATAGCATTAATAACTTGGTGATTAGTGATTAAATTAGTATTAAATTAAATTATATAGTATTAAATTAGTATTAAATTAAATTAGTGATTAAAATAGTAATAATAACCATAGCTATAAATAGAGATATTGGTGATAATAATATCTGCTGAAATCATTATTTAAGAACATGTAGGATGATGATGATGATAATGATGATGGTGGTGATGAAAGAAGTCTACAGATCCTGACCAAACCAGCTACACTTACTGGTCGTGCAACTGTCATTTGGTCATTTTAATGATCAGTAATAAAAATTAATGGCTTGTATGGACATGAAGAAAAGAGCTGATGATAACGAAAATATTCGAAATTGTTGTGATATGTTCTTGGCGTTTTATACAGAACGTAAAACGAGGCAGTTGTTCTGTTCAATAATTGCAAAATACCAAATAAATAAAAGTTAAAGAGATGTTCAGACTAATCCTCATAAAAATTACAACAGAACGTTTGTGAAATAAGTTTTATAAACAATGCAACCGTTGTAGAGAAAATTAAATTGCAAAAATCAATAAAAAGAAGTAATGAAACAAACATATGCAGGTCTCGACAGATGATTTTGAATTATAATAAAACAGCCTAGACAGACAGACTGTGTGTGCTCTGTGTTTTAATTGATGTATAGTATGTTCTAGCTTAACTTGCTTATGTAGAAATTGATTGATTGATTGATTGATTGATTGATTGATTGATTGATTGATTGATTGATTGATTGATTGATTGAACTGTAAGACATCGTTGTAAGGTTGAAAATTTAAAAAAAAGACCAAACAAGTTGTAGATCAGCTGAGCGGTTACATCATGAAAATGCAGACAATTCAATGTAGAATTTTATTCCCACAGATAAACCTGATGCTAAGCAGCAGTGAGCTGTTTCAATAAAAATATTCTCTTCTGATTTGTTTAAAACACATCAACACTTTATCATTAATGAATTCTTCTTCTCATATGAACTTGGAACTGGAAGTATCACATCATTACATTCCATTCCATGGCATTCATTCAAATTCCATTCCAAATTAACATGTCATTCTTATTGCCGTCATCATCCTCCATATCATCATCATCTTCTCCCCAAACATCATCATCATCATCATCACAGCTCCATCTAACAGTTACAACTTGAATTATAAGTACATTAACACCATCCTAGAAATCGTTAACGCCATCATCATCTTCATCGCCAACATCACCATCATCATCTCCATCTCCAGCATCACCATCATCGCTAGCAAAGACGGAAGGAAGATGCATATAACAGAGGGATACATAAAGACATGTACCAGTGGGATTCAAGAATAACACTACTACCAATTGAAACATAAATAAGTTAGGCAAGATAATGACATTTCTGATAATGAAGAAGACGACGACAACGATGGCGACAACAATGACTACGGCAATGACAGCAAAAAACTCAACAATTAAATTACAATGCAGATAACAACAGCAAAAACAAAAAGAAGGGCGATGATGTTTGCCATGATAAATGAGTTATGGAAGTAGATAAAAAATATTTAATAGAATATCCATGACTAATGCACGCCTGCTCATATCATGGTGTGCTTTTTTCTACTATATGCACAAATAAATGTAATGGTGTTGTACAAACAGCATTGTACATGGAGTTGTTTGTTTGTTTAATTGTTTGTATGTTTGTTTGGCTGGCTGTTAATATGTTTCAATGTGTTTTCGATGAAGTATGTATAGAAGTGTATCTACTTTTGTATGTGTTTGTGTCAGTGAGTCTCGTTTTGCGTGTTTGTATTTATTCACAAGTCTAATTAGCCATAACAAAAAAATTATGTTGATTCTGTCAGGATAATCACCATTATCATTTAATCAAACAAAGAAAAAAGCATGAAGCAAGTGCACAGAGAGTTGAATCACACGGCTGGTACAAGTCAGTGCAACATGATGCTCACAAATTATCTTCTGCAATGTGAACATTTCTATATTTGTATTACACACACATACATACGTATGCACGCACACACAAACACACACACTTATGTACATATGCATACATACACACACATGTACATGTACTTCCATGTATTGACCTGCCGGTGTATTAATACGACGTTATGATTCCTTCAAATACAGCACAGAGACAGACAGACAAACAGACAGACAGAAAGACACACACTTCCCCCATACTAAACATGCCCAACTATGCATCAGCTTCACGGTGCAGAGAATTGGTTTTTTATGTACACCAATCAAATGCCAGAACTTGAGAAAACAGACAGCAGAAATAATGATTCTATTTCATTGTAAGGCAGTAAATAATTGCTGGGAACTACAACAAAATCAATTTCAATAAGAAGACATAATTTAAAATTTTATTTTCATTATTTTTTAAATTCTGTTAAAAGGCGCACAATATTTCACGTTAAATAATCACTAACATTTTAATTTGATTAAAAAATATTTTAAGCCTGCAGTCCAATTGCAAAGATAAAACTAAAAGAGGCAATGTTTTGATTGGTGAAAAAGTTACAAGGTACTACCAGTGTATGCCTTTCAATTACTATCATGTGCAACCGCATCAGTTAAGACGTGCACAGCACATAACTCAAGCACAAATGGCAGCCATAAATGAAAAGGCACCAACGCAACCATTATTCATCCGCAATTTCCCACTATCATTAGCTCATCTTCATCCTTAATTCATCATTAACATCATCATCACTTCATCATGGTCATCCATCTGGATACTTCTTGTTTACACTACTACTGTTGGATCATATTTTTTATCATCAACATATTTCTTATTATCATCAGTTCATTGTTATCATTATTATGATTATTATTATTGAACATTGTTACACTTTTAATTACTTTTTTCTTTCATTTTAACGACTTTGGTTGAAATAAAAGAGTTTCCGTCATTATTAGTTCAACATCACCAATGCAGCTTTCACATCTTCGTAATCATTACACCATCCTCAGCCATCTCACTCATATTCATGGTGCAGTTCACTCATGAACTTGATAACATACGTTTCAAACGTTACTACATTTTTATTATTGTCATTAAAATAAGTTCACCATTATCGTCATATCACGCATAGCCATAAAATAAGTCAGGCTGAACTATTTGCATGATATATTATATGCGTTTATGCTTCCTGTCAATTATAAAGTATTACTACGATGATCACAATATAACAGGAGTAAAATCTTAAGTTTGGTAGAGAGCTTATTTTGAAACAAAGGCACTGCAAATTGTTCTTGCCTGCACGTGTAACATATATCATGAAATATTTATTTAAACGAACCCGTCGCACCAATCAAAGATTTGTAAAAACTTCCAGTTATTTCAAACAAATTATGGTCATCATCCTATTTGGTTGACTGATGGACACTAACCAGGCTGCTGTCTATGATGATATAAGCTTGTGAATTAACATACTTCAAACAGAGGCATTTGTTGTTGTTGTTGTTATTATTATTATTATTATTATTATTGAAAGCAGGTCATCATCTGGTATCAGTTCATTATTAAAATAGTGAATGCGATAACGATGGGACATGATAATGACTAATGATAACGAATATGATGGGATTCGAAAGATTGAATGAGTAGAAATGATGAAGAAGTCACTCTTATCTTTCCTTACATCAGCCAGCTACAAATAAAAATAATCTATTTTTCAAGCAATCTGCAACATGGCTCCAACAATCTGATAAATGAAAAACGAAACTATACAACCAGTGCTAATGTCAGAGAGAATAAAATAATGAAGAAACATGTTTCAGGATAATTTAACTCCATCTTCATTTATGGAATTTTACATTAATTCATCCGCAGTAACGTTTAGCAATACTACTTATTAACAAACATTAATTGATGACTGAAAGGTCGAAAATGCTTGAATAAAGTAAGCAGGACCAAGAAGCAAGCAACTCAAACATACAATTCACCCTTTAAAGTTGCTTATGTTAACGTGTCAATATGTCTAAACACATTATTCAATGGCTCTCATATTATAATGTTAATATAACGTTAATAAACAAACATGCAAACTACACAATTGAATTTATAATTCATTCATAATAACATATACTAAATGAAAGTTTCCTAGCATCTTGCTCTCAAATTTCAGAGGAAACAAATAATTAAATAAAAAAATATTTATTAAAAAAAATAATAATAGTGATGAATATAATGAAAATAATAGGAATGATAAGAATAAAAAAAATAATAATAATGCATGCAATCTCCAAACATCCAGAGAAAGAGAGTCAGGAGCCAACCAAATTGTATAACATTACATCATTTAACAGGAATCATTAGTATTATGTATCATGTTAAATAAATGATTAGTTTTCTTTTCTTTAACAGAACGTCACTCACTCACGATGAAGTCTTTTTTTATGTGTGTATTTGTGTGTTACCAATTGGACACACACACACACACACACACACACACCACACACACACGTGTTACATGTTGTATGCATGTGTGTACTCTCATGTATGCCTTTTATGATATATAAGTTAAGTATATATACCTGCGTTATTTTGTGTGTATGCATGCATAATGTTCAGTGTTACACGTGTGTACGATGTATGAAGTATAATGCTGTGCCACGCATGCCTGTATGATGTATGCAGAAGAACATTCTCAACATGCACAAAACCTCTGGAAGAACAAGCATAAAAATGTTCTTGTGTATTTTTAAAAAAGCGTAATTTTAAAGGAGATTTTTTTTAAACATGATTTATGTTTTCTCATTAATGAAACTAACTTAAGACCATTGATAATATATGCTCTACATAATCATATAAACAAAATGGAAATCTTATGAATAATGCTGGCACTGCCTGTGTCACAATTATAGCACCACTATCATGCTTCATATTCGTACATTCATTTTTAAAAAAACTTGCTCTCCTATCTCTATAAAACAGTAGCAGATTAGCATTTAAATGCATTACAAGATAAAAAAAAGGCTTAGATTAAAATCTACCGGTGAATGCCATGTAAGATAAGAGGGAGTTATAAGTTCTGCAGTTTGTTAAGCACATCTGTTGACTGCATAGTGCAGTTGTGGATAATAAAATCGCATACATACCTCTAATTCTCAAATAAAAGCAAATAATAAATCATCGATAAGAACTATTTAAAAAAAATGCAACCCAGATAAAAAGCCCTTTAGACTTTGAAACAAGCTGGTGAAACTAATCTAAATTAGAATTAATGTAACTTCCTTTAATA